GTTGTACCGGTATTTTATGCCATTTATTTATCCTCTATCTACAACCATACTTAACCCACCACCACCCACTTTCTACAACCATACTCGACCCACCACGACCCAACTGTCCTCCATCCACCACGGCCCATTTTCTACAACTATCCTCAACCAACCACGACCCACTTTTTACAAACATCCTCAACCAAACACGACCCACTTTCTACAACCATCCTCAACCCACCACGACCCACTTTCTACAACTATCCTCAACCCACCACGACCCACTTTCTACAACCATCCTCAACCCACCACGACCCACTTTCTACAACCATCCTCAACCCACCACGACCCACTTTCTACAACGATCCTCCACCCACCACCTCCCACTTTTCTCAGCCGTCCACCCACTATTTCCCTCTCTGCCAGCACCACTTTAAAAGTCTCTTGCTTGCTCTTTACGGGTGAAATATTGCTCCCATTATACCCAGTCTCTATGCAAGCCAAACATCGAGCCAGAAAAAAAACATAAAAAATACTCTATTGTTTTCACGTCACTGTATACATATTCTTGAATATTCCCTACGAGCTTTACGGCTCACCTGGAAGAAGATACTTGTATCGAAGGTTGGGTTACTGTTTTACAACTGTTGAAAGTACTGTACTCATTTGTTTTTAACTATGTTTATAAACACTTTTAGAGGAAACGTTTCGCTACTAGTTTATTCTTCAGTCCTAAGAAGCCACTAGCGGCGAAACGTTCCGTCTAATAAATGTCCAGAACTGTACATAAGCGTTTTCTCCAAATCTTGTCGGTGTCACCATAATATTTATGGATCCTTGAGTGTCACCTCAAACTGAAGGGGCAAGTAAGTTCCCCCGTCTGCTAATAACATGTTCATTTTTCCCCTATAATCTACCTTTTCCATAAGTACTATCGCATTTCGTAAAGTGAAGTCTTGGTTCTTTCCTTAATTCATGGTATAACTTAACAGATCTTTGACAATTGTGTTGGAGAGATCTGAGCTTCGCTTAGACCTCTTTAACACAGATACTGAAACAATAGATATTGTAACACAGATATTATAACGATATCGGAAGGGCCAATATCGTTACAATAGGACCACAGAGCGAATTTTTTTATTTTAAGCGAGGAAGAGTTGTTGCCCGTTGTAGGATCCGCGAAGCCAAACCTCACTTGTTGGTGGGATTATGTTTCTACCATTACTTCGGCTTCCTCTGTGAGTGCAGTTTGGAAAAATGTAGGGAAATTGAGTAGCAGGTAATCTCCAGACCTGACTCCCATTACTCACGAAATCGTAATGACACGATTGCAAACAAACCATACCACGGACGGGATTGAATCCGCGGTCGGAGAGTCTCAAAACTCCAGACCGTCGCGTTAGCCACTCCCTTCTACGGGTTGCCGGTATCAGCATTGCAAGAACTTTTTTAGTTGCCACATAGATTGGAAATCATCTAGTATCATCCATATCTGTCAGGGGCTACATCATCTTGTATCATCCATATCTGTCAGGGGCTACATCATCTTGTATCATCCATATCTGTCAGGGGCTACATCTTTGCCCCGCGTTTCTTTCCTCCAAGTCTGCCAGAGTTACTGCCTTTAGACTTTTCTTCTAGCCTTTTACGCTTCTAGAACTGGATTAAACACTTTCCAGCTGGGCCTGATGGCATTAATAGTCGTATGCTTCAGCAATTACATAGGTCAAGCATTGCAGTTCTCTGATGTCATTGTAATCTTATTTGGTCGCAAGGATTCTTCCCCAGCTGTGGAAAACTGCTGTTGTTCTGTCTTTTCATAAACCAGGCAAAAGGAATAGGTATATTTTTAGTATAGGTCTTTGTTTCGCCTTTAAAAACCTATAAAATCTAATAATCACTGCTGATGAGTTGTAAACAGGTTAGAAAACACGTGTAGCTGAAGAGAGGAAATCTGTATGAAGCTCCACCAAAATAATTACCGTCTGGAGGACGTTTAATGTACATGTTATTGAAAACTTACCCCTCAAGGAAGGTTTCTTGAGCTGGTGAAGGGCTCTTGATCTAGGGAATTACATCCGTGCTCCAGTTCCCTGAATTAAGCCTGAATACCTTCCATATCCCCCTGACGCTGTGTAATTCTACTGGTTTAGCGCTTCCCCATGATTATAATAATCTTGAAAACGTACAAAGAACGATGACAAAGTTGATCCCCATGTATCAAAATTCTTTCCTACGAAGCTAGACTGAGGCCCTGAATCTGCACTCTCTAGCAAGGCGTAGAATTAGGTGGTACATGACTGGGGTGGAAAAGGAAAACGGGAATAAATAAAGGGGATGTAATAATGTGCTAAAAGGATCTAACCATGACAGTACTCGCAGCAATAATAATAATAATAATATATCTTTATTTCTACAAGTACATGTACAAGGTATACAGGCCTAGCTGACATCAATGACATACTACTATATAGAAATCCCCTTGTTATGCTGAGCATTTCGGGCAAATTATCCCTCAAGGAAGGTTCCTTGATGTTGGTGAGGGGCTCTTGATTTAGGGAATTGGATCTGTGCTCCAGTTCCCCGAATTAAGCCTGAATGCCTTCCACATCCCCCCCCCAGGCGCTGTATAATCCTCCGGGTTTAGCGCTTCCCCTTGATTATAATAATAATAATTCGGGCAAATTAGGTCAGTTTTGTCCCAGGATGCGACCCACACCAGTCGACTAACACCCAGATGTAAAAATTTAGATCTAGAAAAGATAAAGGAAAGCATTGGGTTGGTAATATAGTGTATGAGTGGAACAAATTCCCGAGTAGCGTCACTGAAGCTTAAAAATTGTCTGTCTGTGGTGTGGTGGATGTTTGTATAGTATGAGTCTGCCCTAGCAGTGAGTGAACTACTTACCCGGATGTTGTGACTTATGGAAATAACCCTCAGTGTTGATTTGGGAGACGATAATTAATTACCACTTAGTAAGCCTTTCCTCACATTTGTACCCAGGATATTTACCCTTTTGTAGATCACTGATCCCCCATTTTTGTTGGAGCTCAGTCAAGGTTACGCCCGGCTCTCTCTCTCTCTCTCTCTCTCTCTCTCTCTCTCTCTCTCTCTCTCTCTCTCTCTCTCTCTCTCTCTCTCTCTCTCTCTCTCTCTCTCTCTCGTTACACAGGGTTTAACAAGGTTAGGTTAAGGTTCCTAACTTTATTTACAGGCTAAGAGCTGTTAACATCAGCTCATTTAAAAGCCCCTTTTTTATTGTTTCGAAACATACAAATAGGGAACAGGATGAAGTTGGAGCCATCTGTGGGCCAGAAATTACATTTGATCAACTGACTTTATTTTGTTGGTATTATGCTGTATGAACATGTTACAGATTCGAGTTGTCCTGGGAATAAATGATCTCAGATGAAGTGATGTTCTGGAGAAGGGTACAGTGTAGTTGCTGCTTGCTGCCCGTCTTGTGATATAGAAGCTTGTTTCTCGCTTTCCTCGTACTGGAGCCAAGTGTGGTACTTTGAGTGAACCCACTCTTCATTCTTTGAGTGAACCCACTCTCTCTCTCTCCTCTCTCCTCTCTCCTCTCTCCTCTCTCCCCCTCTCCCTCCCTCTCTCTCTCCCTCTTGCTCCCTCTCACTACCTGCCTCTCACTACCTGCCTCCCTCTCTCTGCCCTCCCTCTCACTCCCTCTGCCCTCCCTTTCACTCTCTGCCCTCCCTCTCACTCTGTCTGTCTCTCACTGTCTCTGTTTCTCTTTCTGTCTTTCTGTCTCTTTCTCTGTCTCTGTCTCTCTGTCTCTGTCTCTCTGTCTCTGTCTCTGTCTGTCTCTCTCTCTCTCTCTCTCTCTCTCCTCTCTCTCTCTCTCTCTCTCTCTCTCTCTCTCCTCTCTCTCTCTCTCTCTCTCTCTCTCTCTCTCTCTCCTCGCTCCTCCCTAGCCCTCATATTTCCCTGTCCTTCCTTCCTTCTTCTCGCTTACCCTCCATCACCTGTCTCTTCCTCTCCTCGTCATATATACTCTACCTTTCCTTCCTTAGTTTTCCTCCTCTTTTACTCCTGTCTTCTACTCCACTCACGTATATTTCGTCCCACACATCCTCCCTTCTTCATTCCTTGAGTCTCCAGAATAATGGAAAGCAATTAGAGTTTTTGATTAAGCTTATGGAATTCTTAAGTTATTGACAATGTGTGATAAACGAGCGAGTGGATGAGCAATAACGAAAGAGGAAACCGGAGGAGACGAAGGAGATTAAAGAAAGGGAAGAAAAAGGGATAATCAGGGGTAGTAAACAGGAGGATGAGAAGAAACTGAGGATGAAAAAAGAATAAGTGAATTAGAAAATGTAAAATGGGAAAAGTAAAATAAAATGATAAACAAGGAAAATAACAAAAATATGAAGGATTAAGAGGAAATAATGTTAAAAATGGGATGACCTGACTTTATTTTCTCTTCAGTGTTGGACTATAATTTTGCTGGTATTTCCCACAAATCTCTGGGAGAAATGACCTCACTTGGGAACTTTCAAAGGACATTTTATACAGTGTCGTGGCATTTTTTTATTTATTTTTTTTTCTTTGGGGGGGAGGGAGAGGGCATAATTTGACTTGTAGGACGTTTTATTGAAATTTTATCTCGTGTGCATGGTGTTTTTTATTTTTTTTTTTTGTGTGTGGAAAAATGCTACAGTCCAGTCAATTTCCGTGGAAATATTCACTCTGGAGACAGTCGTTTCCCTGAACGAATCTGTCTGTATTTCTCACTCTATTTGTTCAACACTGCAGAAACAGAACAGGGTTATGTGGCTGCAACACTGTAGCTCAACTGCTGTCATTCAACTCCCGCTGTAGTTATATTGTGTTGTGACACACATATGTGAAGTTAAGTAAATAATGGTATGTGTAAATTACACATCAAATGGGAAGTTTACTAAGTTTGGAAATTCCTTGAGACGATCCATCCAAGACGTGTGACCTTGTCCAGTTGTTTCTGGCCTCTACCCGTTAATGCCGCCCCCACCCGTTAATGCCGCCCCACCCGCTAATGCCGCCCCACCCGTTAATGCCGCCCCACCCGTTAATGCCGCCCCACCCGTTAATGCCGCCCCACCCGCTAATGCCGCCCCACCCGTTAATGCCGCCCCACCCACTAATGCCGCCCCACCCGCTAATGTCGCCCCAGCCACTAATGCCGCCCCACCCGCTAATGCCGCCCCACCCGCTAATGCCGCCCCAGCCACTAATGCCGCCCCAGCCACTACTGCCGCCCCGTCCACTAATGCCGCCCCGTCCACTAATGCCGCCCCGTCCACTAATGCCGCCTCAGCCACTAATGCCGCCCCAGCCACTAATGCCGCCCCGGCCACTAATGCCGCCCCGTCCACTAATGCCGCCTCAGCCACTAATGCCGCCCCAGCCACTAATGCCGCCCCAGCCACTAATGCCGCCCCAGCCACTAATGCCGCCCCAGCCACTAATGCCGCCCCACCCACTAATGCCGCCCCACCCACTAATGCTGCCCCACCCACTAATGCTGCCCCACCCACTAATGCCGCCCCACCCACTAATGCCGCCCCACCCACTAATGCCGCCCCACGCACTAATGCCGCCCCACCCACTAATGCCGCCCCACCCACTAATGCCGCCCCAGCCACTAATGCCGCCCCACCCACTAATGCCGCCCCAGCCACTAATGCCGCCCCAGCCACTAATGCCGCCCCGTCCACTAATGCCGCCTCAGCCACTAATGCCGCCCCACCCACTAATGCCGCCCCAGCCACTAATGCCGCCCCACCCACTAATGCCGCCCCACCCACTAATGCCGCCCCACCCACTAATGCCGCCCCACCCACTAATGCTGCCCCAGCCACTAATGCCGCCCCAGCCACTAATGCCGCCCCAGCCACTAATGCCGCCCCAGCCACTAATGCCGCCCCACCCACTAATGCCGCCCCACCCACTAATGCCGCCCCAGCCACTAATGCCGCCCCAGCCACTAATGCCGCCCCGTCCACTAATGCCGCCTCAGCCACTAATGCCGCCCCACCCACTAATGCCGCCCCAGCCACTAATGCCGCCCCACCCACTAATGCCGCCCCACCCACTAATGCCGCCCCACCCACTAATGCCGCCCCACCCACTAATGCCGCCCCACCCACTAATGCCGCCCCGTCCACTAATGCCGCCCCAGCCACTAATGCCGCCCCACCCACTAATGCCGCCCCACCCACTAATGCCGCCCCACCCACTAATGCCGCCCCACCCACTAATGCCGCCCCACCCACTAATGCCGCCCCGTCCACTAATGCCGCCCCAGCCACTAATGCCGCCCCACCCACTAATGCCGCCCCACCCACTAATGCCGCCCCACCCACTAATGCCGCCCCACCCACTACATTCTGCTCTTAAAGCTGTTTTTTCCCGCCAAAGACACCGGACATCATGAGTGATAAAAGTCCAGCCAAGTGTATACTTATTTTTAAAAAAACGATTAACATTGTTATACTGCCACGATAGGAAAGGTTTAGTTTTTGCTAAATAAACGTTTCTTCTATGGTAATAGACATAGATGAGTGGAATGCTTTTAATCTTGATCAGTGTCTTAAATCATGGTTGAAAGATAGTCACCTTTTGCTTTGAGGCAAATAAGAATAGAAATATTGATTAAGACACCATTCGGATATCTGTTGAAACGTTTCGCTTCCTCAGTCAATAGAGCCATAGCAGAAATGACAAGGAAAGATAACACAACAGTCATTAACCACGTAAAAGTATCTGGAGGATTGTCAGGTGACTGATAATTCAACAAAGTAGGATGTTGCAACAGTTTCAAAAACCATTACATAAAGATAAGATAAGATAAAATAAGTTTTCGTTAGGAATTTTAACCGTCCCCGGAGGGTTACCACCCAGGATAACCCAAGAAAGTCAGTGCGTCATCGAGGAACTGTCTAACTTATTCATGGTGTCCTTAATCTTGTCCCCCAGGATGCGACCACCCACACCAGTCGACTAACACCCCAGGTACCATATTTGCTGCTAGTGAACAAGGACAATAGGTGTAAGGAACGTGCGGAATTTCCACCCGCCGGGAGATCGAACCCGGGTCCCTCTCCGGTTTGTGAAGCGGGGCTTTAGCACCAGCCACAGAAAAAAGAAAAATTCCCCAAAATAATTGTATTTTTTAATCAATGGGCATTGTCCCTTTCCTTGCTTAAGCTACCGTAGAGAGTATTTTTAACACGTAAATGTGGTTTTCACTCTAATAAGTGTACGATCAGTTTGGGGGCAATATTCAGGAGTTGATTATCACTTTTGTGGATATCAGGCCTCAGAAAACATAATGAATATTTTCCTGCTACATATAGTAGTCAATTACTAATGAACAGTAAATAAATTACTTTAAGTGGAAGTAGAGAGCAGTTTGCTCGCCCCCCATAATCCAGCACGCTATGACGGTGCATAATATCTACTGATTAACTTAACATGACGTTAGTCTATATTAACCACCAAGTGTTTATGTTATCACTGGGCTCGTAGTACGTGAAACAATTCGAGTTTTTTTTTATATTATATATTTATCTATGCCAAGTAAAAGCATAGAGAAACCTTTTAAAACTTTGCCCAAGGGATATATTTTAAAAATTTGTTCTTCAACAATATACCTCTTGTTAATATCATCCAATGACAAATACGGATTAGTGCTACTCAATATATATAAGTTTTCTAAGGTTTTTTTTGATACAAAATTATTAATTTTTCATTAACATAAATATATATAAAGATATAAATATATATATATAAATAAATATAGATAAATAAATAAATATATATATAATTATATATAAATATATAAAGTATATATATATATATATATATATATATATATATATAAATAGTTGATGTGTGTGTTGTGTGTGTGTGTGTATGAGTCGTGCCGAAATAGGCATAACTTGCGATCTGGCTTAAACAGCAACTCTCATCTTGCCATTATATGAACAAGTGAAAATTTGTGTATGCAATATTTCGCCAAAATCATTCTGAACCGTATCGAAAAAAAATATATTTCATCCGTGTTCTATGTTAGTAATAAATTATTTGTAAACAAATCTAAATATATTTAGTTGTGTTAGGCTAAAAATAAATTGTTCTTGGTTATAATAAGGTTAAGTGTAAGTTTTCTAAGTTCCTTTTGGTGCAAAATTAAAAATTTTTACATTAACTTAATGAAACAATTATATTTCTTTTTTTTTTAAAACGTATAAGAGAAAATTTAAGAAAGGACTTAATTTTAAATGAGTTCTTGCTAATTGACCAGTTTTACATTTCGGCACGACATTAATATAATATATATATATATATTACTATATATATATAAATATAATTATTAAATATATTATATTATATATATATATATATATATATAAATATATTTATATAATATAATATATATATAGGTAGTTAGGTTTGTAGACAGAGCAACCACAAGGAAGTACACCGTCCTGCCAGATGACTGTAGAAACAAAAAACCTGTAACTGTTTTGCATGAAGGTAGGATGGCTGGTTTCTTTTCTGTCTCATAAACAATCTAAGATAACAGTGGATATTCTTCTACTCCTACTTTACACTTTGTCAACACTTCACAGACACGCACATGCATATAATACAAACAAACATCTAGGTTTTACTCCTTTTTCTAAATAGCTCTTGTTCTTTTTATTTCATCGTGATATGCCCTCTGTGGGGGGAAGTAGGAAAAGAATCTTTCCTCCGAAAGCCATGCGTGTCGTAGAGCGACTAAAATCCGGACAATGGGCTAGTAACCCCTTCTCCAGTATACAATTTACTAAAAAAAGAGAAGAAGAAACACTTTATAAAACTGGGTGCTAAATTGCGTGGATGTAGTGCGGAAGACAAGAAACAGATGATTGCTCTGTTATGAATGAAAAGAATTTTGGATGTCCTGGCCCCTAACGAACAAAGCTGAAGGGGGAGGAGAGTTTCAGTGTGGGAAATAAATGTGGATTAAATCTGGAGTATCTGATAGAGTTAGAGTCAAGGAAGGGGTAGCAGTAATGTTAAATGATCCAGTATGGAAGGAGAAAGAATATGAATGTGAAATCAAGATTATGTGGATTAAAGTAAAGGTTGGATGGCGAGAAGTGGTCATAATAAGCGTTGTATATCCCTGGTAGAAGAGAGAATCAGAGGAGAGAGAGAGATTTGGAGATGTTAAGTGAATGAATATTGGAGCCTTGAACCAAGTGAGAGAGTACTTGTGGTAGGGGACTTGAATGCTAAAAGTAGGAGAAACTTTTAGAGAGGGTGGGGTAGGTAAGATTGGTGTGGCCATGTGTAAATGATAATGGGAGCCCTTTATTGACTTTGTATAAGAAAGGGTTATTTTAGTTATAGGTAATACATATTTTAAGAAAAAGAGGAAAAATAGTATACACATATGATGTAGGGCGAAATGACAGTAGTTAGTTGGGATTATGTTATTGGTAGATAATAGACTGTTGATTTAGAAAACTTCAGATGTACATGTTTATAGAGGGGCCACAAATATATCAGATCACTTTCTAGTTGTAGCTACACTGAGAGTAAAAGGTAGATGGGATACACGGAGACTAGAAGCCTCAGGGAAGAGAGAGGTGAAGTTTATTAAACTAAAAGAGGAGGCAGTTAGGGGTAAATATAAACGCTATTGGAGGATATATGTGGGCTAATGAAGCATATGGCAATGGGGTCGAAGAGTAATTGGGGTAGGTTTAAAAATGTAGTGTTAGAGTTGGTTCAGCAGAATTTTGTGGTTACAGGAAAGTGGTCTGCAAGAGGGCAGGAGGAGCGATTGGTGAATGATGAAGTAAAGAGAGTAGTAAGTGAGAACAGTTAGCATTATGAGAAGTTTTTTACAAAGAAGAAGTGATGCAAGGAGGGAAGAGTAAATGGAGAAAAAGAGAGAAGTTAAGGAGTTGTGAACAATGTAAAAAGAAGCAAATGAAAGAGTGGGTGAGATGTTTCACAAATTTTGTTGAAAATAAGAAAAAAGTTTGGAGTGAGATTAACAATAAGAAACCCTAGGAGGGAAAACAAATGGATTTGTCCAGTTAAAAATAGGAGAGGAGAGTTATTAAATGTAGAGGTAGAGGTATTGGAAGATGGAAGGAAAAATTAGAGGAATTGTTAAATGTTGATGAATATAGGGAACGTGATTTCGGTAATAGGGCAAGGAGGAATAACACTTGTAGGAGTGAGTAGAGCCAGTTGTGAGTGTGGGAAGTTCGTGAGGTCGCAGTAGGTAAAAATTGAAAGGGGGTAAGGCAAAAAAATAGCCGGATTGATGGGATAAAGATAGAAACAATGTTAAAAGCAGATGGGATATAGTTTTGGAGTGGTTGGTTGCAATTATTTAATAAATGTAAGGAAGAGGGTAAGGTACCCTAGGAGATTGGCAGAGAGCAATGCATAGTTCCCTTTGTATAAAGGCAAAGGGGATAAAAAGAGACAGTGTCAAAAATTATAGGGGATAATTCTGTTGAGTGTACCTGTAAAGTGTATGGTAGAGTACTAATTGAAAGAATTAAGAGTAAAGGAGAAAAGAATAGCATGGATGAACAAGGAGGCTTTAGGAAAGGTATGGGTGTGTGGACCAGGTGTATACAGTGAAACATATAAGTGAACAGTATTTAGATAGGCTAAAGAGGTCTATTGTGGCATTTTATTGATTCTGGAAAAGGCCGTATGACAGGTGGATAGGGGGGCAAAGTGGGCCGATGTTGCAAGTTATGGTGTAGGAGGAAGGTTACTGAAATCATGAAGAGTTTTTTACGAGGAATAGTTTAGGCTCAAGTATAGAGTATGTGTAGGAAAGAGGGAAATTTTTTTCCCAGTAAAAAGTAGGGCCTTAGACAAGGAAGTGTGAATTCACCAGTGGTAGTTTAATATATTTAATAGATGGGTTGTAAGAGAAAGTAAATGCGAGGGTCTTGGCAAGAGGCGTTGGAGTTAAAGATAAAGAATCACACACAAAGTGGGAGTTGGTCTCAGCATGCTCTTTGCTGATGACACTGTGCTCTTGGGAGATTCTGAAGGAGAATTGCAGAGATTGTTGGATGAATTTGGTAGGGTGTGCGAAAAAGAAGAAAATTACAGGTGAATCACGGAAAGAGTAAGGTTATGAGGAAGAACAAAAAGATTAGGTGTTGAAGATTGAAATATCAGATTGGAGGGGAGAGAGTAATGAGGAGGTGACGAAGCAGATATTTGGAGTGGACTTGTCAGCGGATTGGTCTATGAAAGATGAGGTGAATCATAGAATTGAAATGAGGGAAAAAGAGTGAGTGGTGCACTTAGAAGTCTGTGGAGACCAAAGAACTTTGTCCTTGGAGGCACAGAGTGGGAATGTAATGAGAGTAATAGATTACCAACGCTCTTTAAATGGGT